TTTCATCTTTATTCATATATATATTAATTCCTAGACCTTCATTAGCTCTCTATCGTTACTGCCCTTTAATATTTATCCAATTTAGAGTAAATAATCTTAAATTAATTCGATACCGTAGGTTTCGGTTTACTCTTCGTTTTGACTGTGTAACAATTAATGTAATATTTACGTATTTCTGATCCAATTTGCAATCTTTGCGACACACCACGAGTTCAATAATTCTTAATTTGTAACCTAACTATTCTTAACGTAGTGTAATTACTTAAAGTTTATGTTTATTTTCTGTTTCAGAGTTTCGGTTTGAAAGTACGCACTACCGACCTGAGCATCGCTGACTGCCTTCAAACGGAATTCGGCGGGAAATTGGTGAATTCTGGTAAGTTATTATAATATTTATTATAACATTTATTATGACAACAAAGTGACACTTCATTACGTATTTAGTAAAGTCTGAGTAAATTTAGTATTCTCTATAAACATGTTAACGGACATTTAATAAGTTATCTTTTGGATAAGTGACGAAATACATATGTATTTTTGGCGTTATGTGTTTTCAGTGTTACATTCGCCGTTTAAACTGGAGTGATGCATAGTTTGTTCCCGCCAAGTCGTATTACTGGAGGATATACCGCTCTGACCAATCAGCTACTCGGGATCTTCCGAAGATAGCCGAATGAACTGCTCGGGACCGGCCGAATGTAACCGAAATGTCATTCGTTTCGAAGAAGTGGCGGGATAAGACGTAGAAGCCGTTTGCTCGTACCAAAGTGAGTGTTTGACATTTATCTTTCATCTTTATTCATATATATGCATATATATATTAATTCCTGGACTTTCATTAGCTCTCTATCGTTACTGTCCTTTAATATTTATCCAATTTAGACTAAATAATCCCAAATTAATTCGAAACCGTAGGTTTCGGTTTACTCTTCGGTTTCACTGTGTAACAATTAATGTAATATTTACGTATTTCTGATCCAATTTGCAATCTTTGCGACACACCACGAGTTCAATAATTCTTAATTTGTAACCTAACTATTCTTAACGTAGTGTAATTACTTAACGTTTATGTTTATTCTCTGTTTCAGAGTTTCGGTTCGAAAGTACGCACTACCGTCCTGAGCATCGCTGATTGCCTTCAAACTGAATTCGTCGGGAAATTGGTGAATTCTGGTAAGTTATTATAATATTTTAATTATGACAACAAAGTGACACTTTATTACGTATTTTTATATTGTTTTTAACCGTAAGTGAAATAATCGTGCTTTCGTGGTTTGTACTAAGATCAAATGAGAATTTTTTGGAGCAATTTTTTCAATACATATTGTTATGTAGTTGAAGCATTCAAAATGGCTTCCTTGAATGTTACAAAATTTGAACTACAACACTTTGAGACATTCAAATTGGAAATGTTTGTGATTTATGTATCTCGTAAAATTGTCGTGAAATTGTATTAAAATAGATTATAGATAATTTCTCGTGTTTTTCCATATGAGATTATTGTATTTGCATTTATATACAGTTTTTGGTGTAAATTTGATTAATACAAGCTGCATAGTTTATCATGCTTTTTATCAAAGCATACATAAATAATGCAACTTTGGTACTTGTAATGACTTTATGCATATGTAGAAAAGCGGGACATTGATTAAGTAAAAAAACAAACATGATTGCAGCATAGTTATGTATTATGCTACAACGTAATTCATAAATATTATAAACTGAATAATTGTCGTGTTATATTTATCAGTAATAATAATATTGAGTGTAACAAATTTGTCTTGTTTTTTTTTTCAGTTTCTTCAAATGTTGCATCACTGAACACTAAATCGGATATCCTGTTGTGAAGTTCCACCAGCAAAGACTCTAAACCCTTCTATCATCGGGTGAGTCCTTGCATGCCTTTTTTATTACTCCAATCCCCATTATGCCATAGGACGATTAGTTTAATGTGGCACAGGCAACTGATTGTATACATGCTAAATTTGGGGAGTATAGTGAACGTGGGTATGCTATCATACCTTGGCAATGGCTTTGACAATGGGATCACCCGTGGGTTGTTCAATATGTAGAGTCAAATATCTTATTAAAGAATCATGATTAGTCTTTTTGTCTTTAAAAATGAATTTCCGTTAGGGTCTTTTTCTTAATGACTGAATTGTATTAAATTAATAAGTATCCAATCTTTGCTTTTCAATTGTTATTAATACAAATTTGAATCATTTTAATTACAAATTAAATGAGAAAGAATCAAAGAATATTAACCTGTTAAAAGAGTAGCAACTAGTAATTTTTTTCGTTGGATTTTCAGGATAATGTCGTCCAGCAAAGCTCACATTCATCAGTGAG